ACACTCCCTAAAACAGTCCATCTACCAGCTTTAGTAAAGCACAGTTCATTGCTTTTAAGTTACCCACAAGAGAAGGAAAAGAGTAAAAGAAAACCGATTAAAAGGAATAAAGAAAGAGAGAAGGAGAGAGAGAAGAAAAAAAAATGGTTACTAATGAGTCGATGCTTCACATGGTACCAGCTGGAGAGGAAGAAGAGAGAAGAGACAGGAAGAGGAGAGGAGGAAAAAAATAGTTACTGACTCACATGGTTTAGGCAGCAGGAGAGCCCAGAGGGAAGGAGAAAGAGAGAGGGAGACCACAGGGAGTCTGGTGTATTTATAGAGTTCAGTTTTCCCTCCCAGGCAGGATATCCCAGCAGTGCCTTCCAACCCACAGTGAGTTGTGCTGTAGCCACTCACCAGGCCCTGCCCAAGCCCTCCCATCAGGGGCTGGGCCCTGGAGGCAGGGGGAGATCCCTCCCCTGGCATGGCCATTCTTGCCCAGCCCTGTCTGGCCCAGCCTCTTCCCCCCTGCACACTCACCCCTGGCACAGCCTGCCCTGGGGCAGCATTTACTTCTTAGGCCCTTCAGAGCTGCCCGCATGGGGACACTTCTATTTTCTGTGCCAGCACCAGAGCCAGGCCAGCCAGTGCTGCCCCTCGTCCCCAGCCCGGCTCCCTGACTCCAATTGCCTCTGGAACCCAAGAGCCAAAGGTGACACCCCCAGAGTGCAGCCCCACCCTCTGCAATGGGGCCCCAGGGGTTCCCTTTCCCAAGCAGCCCCTGCAAACCCCTGACAGAGAGAAAATGGGGTGACTGAGTCCTGGATGCTTTTAGTGAAGAGCTGGAAACATTCCTTGGATAATGGAGGGGGCTGACTTTTTTATTCTTGACATTTCCAGTTCTCCATCTGGGGTCAGGATGTCCTTTAGGCTGATGGTTTATTCCCTTTGGAGTGAGTGCAGACTCCGAGGGCTGAGCCCTCTCTGGTTGGGTTTGGCCGTTCCTGGAGAGCCTCAGGCCTGGCTGGGCTGCCCCAGGCAGACGCTGGAGGAAGAAGAGCCCAGGCCGCCTGCGTCTGCTGTCCCTGGGGCTCAGCCTGTGCCCCATTCCTGCCCAAGGGCTGAGCCCACCTCTGCCTCGGGGCCTTGGGCAAAGGGCTGGTAAGGGAGAGGCCCAGGAGCCCTGGGGCCTGCCCAGCTTTCCTCCTCCCTGGGGGCTCCCAGTCCTCGCCTGACACCCTGTTGGTCCGAGGCCTTGCTGGCTCCGGGCTCACGGCCCGCTGGCACCATCCCACCGGTCTGACCCCCCTCCTTGCCCTCTCTCCAGCCGCTCCTGCCTTTGATGGCAAGGCCCCATCCAAGGAAAACCCCGGTGATCAGCAATGGCACCTGTGGGACGGCTGCAAGGCTCGAGTGTGTCAGGCCAGAGCAGGAGCACAGAGAGCCTGAGGAGCCAGGAGATGCCCTGGCTGAGCATTGTGCTGCTGTGGGACGAGTTGACCCCTCTGCACAGTCTGTGCTGTCCCTGCCAGCCAAGTTCTGCCCGGGCTCTGTGCACGGGGACAGAGCGCTGACAGTTTTCATCCCCCGCGCTGTTCCACAAAGGCTGTGATGTCACAAGGCCCTTGCCTGGCAGCCAGGAGATGGGCAAGGCAAGGCAAGGATGGAGCCTCTGAGCCACCAGCACGCTGTCCCAAAGGCTGGGATGGCACAGAAACCCAGAATCCATGAGGTTGGCAGAGACTTCTGAGGTCAACCGGCATCCAGCCTACGACCCATCCCCAGCACGTCAAGCAGACCACGGTACTGAGTTTGCCATGTCCAGTCTGTCCTTAAACACCTCCAGGGATGGTGACTCCACCACCTGCCTGGGCAGCCCATGTCAATACCTAATCCTTGTTTCTGCCCAAAAATTCCTGCTCCTGTCCCTGACAAACACCCCCTGACAGGCAGGTCCTCATGTCCTCTGTATACTTTTGTGTACATCTGGTGTGTGCAATGGGTCAAAGAGGGGATCCCATGAGCAAATAAGGCAGGGTTGTCTGGCATTATATTCCTAAAGGTTCTCAATGCGGGTTTAAATTCACCTTTGATCCAATAGATGAGTGAGGGGATTAAATTTGAGGTAAGATGGTTACATTTACTTTTGATTCCATAGTTTCACAAACCATGTGACCAGTTCTCAGGAGATGTTCCTTTGATTTCCACTTCTAACAGTCTGTTCTGCTGAGCACATGGACAAGGTAAATAACCACACAAACAGAACTAACAAATGATAACCACAGTTACCAGTGAACTGAACCAGAGTCCAAACCTGAGGTTTTTCATTCCCTGTTCTGAATCCTTTTCTCCATTGAACAGTTCCATGTAAAAGAAAAGAAAAAGGTCTGTCCTGCCCCTCTTAGGGCCAACATTAAAATACAGGAACAGTCCCCTGAGAGCTTATTTTATGTTCTTTGCCATGAGCATCTTTTGCTTTCCAGGTGTCCCTGTCCAAGGGAGGACCATTGGTACAGCTCCTACAGAAGGTAGTGCCACCAATACAGGCTGGCCAGGAAGGGGAGAGCGTTTTTGATCACCCTCAGGTTTGGATGTTGCTGGTAGCAAAGGGGGAGGCAGTGGATAAAAAGCTGTGGGTCCAGGATAGCCATTTATTCCCCATCAGTCATTCACCATTTTTACAGCATCCCACAGTCGTTCAGTCCCATTAGATTTCTGAAGTTTTAGAAATTGTTTCAGCAGGTCATTTGTTCTTTCCATTCTGCATTTGTTTGTGGATAATAGGGGTTGTGAAATATCCACTGGATTCCTTCCTTGGCCCACTCCTGGATGATGGCAACTGTGAAGTGTGACCCATTGTCTGACTGGATAGATACAGGTTTTGGGAAAAAACTGAACCCCATTTTAGGAGCTGCTGGAGTCTTTGCCCTCATTGCCCAAGGGAAAGTTTCTGCTTGCACTGATCCTGACCCAATTTCCACTCCTACTAACACACACTGTTTTCCCTCAGATTTTCTAAAGGGTCCAATCTAGTCTGTCTGCCTCGTGTCCCACAGCCCTTTTCTGTCTCTTCTGTGTAAGGAGGGTTGTTCTACAGGGTGATGCTCCAGTCGGGCTCTGCGCTGCTCACATGAGGAGGTGCAGGTGGGGCACATCTCTCCAGTCAATGCCTATCCCCTGTTCCTGCTGCTCTGCATAAGTCCTGTGCCCCTGTGTGCTGTGGCTTGAAGTGCAACCATTCTCACAGTCTGTCCCAGCTCTCTGGGGGAGTTGTTACACTTAGAGGGGCTGATCTGGCCAGTTCATCTCCTTGGTTGTTCCAGTGACCAGCTGGAGTTTCATTTTCCTGATGGGAGGCTGCCCATCCCACTAAAAAGTTCCCTTTCTTTACTAGAGCAAGAATATCTTGCCATTTCTTCTTTTGCCAAACAGGGATTGCATTCACTTCCCAGTCACTGTTGTCCCAGCAGGGGAGCCACTCAGTGCACCCTTTGAACACAGTAAAAGAATCCCTGTAAACATAGACAGAGGGTTCAGCTTCCTGGTTAAATACCCTCCAAACTATTCCTGATTCTCCTGCCTGTGCCCTTCTTCTCTTTCGGGGACTGTTTTGTCTTCTGGATGTCCCTGTAAAGCCACAGCACGATATTTCCAAACTGCCCCTTCCCGCTCAGCTGAGGCATCAGGAAACCCCCCATCCTGCAATTGCTCTGAGTGTGGGGGTGCCCCTTGAACCACAGAAGGGGGAGAATCAGCTGAGCTATTTACAGTCCCCTCATCTTGTCAGGGAGGATTTTTGTGAGCTCCTTCTGTTCCCTGAAAGATGGTGCAATAATGTTCAATTTGAGCCTCCCATTTCCCAACAGGAGCTGGCTGGGCCACCCCACCAGGGAGTAGGGTTCCTGTCAGAACAGGTTTGATGACCTTAAAGGGTCCCCTTCAAATTAGAGACTGCTGAGGAACAATTTTTTCTGCTTCCCACAAATAAGTCCTTTTCCCAGGGAGAATATAGTTTTTGGGTATCTTTGACACTGCATGAGTAAAACCCTACAGGCCTGGTGGGGACAAGTAGGTTTGTGCCCTAGTGTGGATGTTCTGGTGTCTGATCATGTTGGAGCTCCAGCTGGAGCCTCATAATGGTGCAGGCCTCATAAAGCCCATAAACATCACAAGAGGCTCTCATCATGAAGTCTCCTCATAAAGCCCATCTATCTCACAACGGGGCAGTCTCAGAAGGTCTCTGTGCTCATAGAACCCATCCACCCCATAATGGTGCAGTCTCATTAAGGCACTGTCCTCATAACCCTCACACACCTCATAACAGTGCAGGTCTCATAAGGCCCCTGTCCTCATAAGGCCCATAAACCTCCTCATGGGGCTCTCATCATAAAGGAGATGTTCTCATAAATGCCATAAACCTCATAAAGGCTTTGTCCTCATAAAGCCTGTGAACCTCAGAAGGGGCAAACATCATACAGGCTCTGCCTTCATAAACACCATAAATGTCATAAAAGCTCTGTCCTCATACACCCCACACACCTCATGACAGAGCTCTCATCATAAAAGATCTTTCTGCATAAAGCCCATGAACATAATAGGGTGCTGTCCTCAGAAAGCCCATACACCTCATAAGAGGCTCTCCTCATAAAGGCCATGTCCTTATAAACCCCATAAACACTGCTGCCTAAAAGACTGCAGAGGAAAAAAGACTCCAGGCCAAATTAGGCAGGAGGGCAGAGAAACAGCAGAGGTTTCCATGAGCCTCCAGTCTCCAGGAATACAAACCCACAACCATCCCTTCCAACACAGGGGTTACAGTTTTTATAATGATTTCCACCCAATGCCCGTCCCGTCCCCGCCCCGGTTCTGCCCCGCTCTGCCCCAGGAACGCCCGTGGGGAATTGAGTCTGGGGGAGTTTGGAGCTTTGAGCCGCTGCAACTACAACTCCCGGCGTGCCCCGCGCGGAAAAGGGGGCGGGGCGGGGTCTCTGCCGGCGGTGCGCGCGCACAGCCCCGCGGTGGCTGCCGGGAAAGCGATGGCGGCGGCAGCGGGATCTGCTCCGACTCTGTGAGAGCTGGCGGGGGCTGCGGCGGGGCTGGGGATGCGCTCGGGGGCTGCGGGGAGCGCGGCTGTGGGCGGGAAGGCTGGAGGGCTCGGCAGAGTGGAGAGGAGGGGCTCGGGGGTTCCCGAGGAGGTTTTGAGGTCCTTGAGGGGCTCTCAGGGTTTCGCGGAGGGGATTTGGTGTCCTGAGGGCGCTCAGAGGGGAGGGTGAAGGTGCCTGAAGGGGTTCAGGGGGTCCCTGAAAGGGCTGGGGCCATGGAACCCCCTCAGGAGAGAGGTTTAAACACCATGGCTGCACTGCGCAGGCGCCGGCGGAGTCCCCATGAGCAAACTACAACTCCCATTAGGCCAGCGCGCCGCCGTCATTTCTGCTCGTGCCACATCGCCCCCTGCCGTCTGGGCGGACCGACCGCAGAAAAGCGGGTCCTGATGCCCCCCCCGAACCCCAGAGACCACCAAAACTCAGCACACAGAGACCCCACAGGGAGGGGATCCCGGGGGTCCCTAAAGCCCAGCAGTGGGGTTCAAGGGGTCTCCCAGCCCTCAGGGGAGGGGTCCTGGCGGTGCCACCCAAAGTCTTGTGAGGGAGATGAACCACATGCAGGTAAGGGGATCCCAGTGCCCCCAGTATAGCCCACTGAACTCCCAGTGGCTCTCAGTATGGCCCAGTAACCCTCCCAGTGACCACTCAGTGTTTCCCAGTGACCTCCCACTGCCACCCAGTATGGCCCAATGACCCTCCAGTGAGCACCCAGTAACCCCCAGTATGGCCCAGTAACCTCCCAGTGTCCCCCTGTGTGTCCTAATAATCCCCTACTAATAACGCAGTCCCTCCCAGTGCCCTCCCAGCATCCCTCAATAACCCCCCAGTTCCTCCCAGTGCCCCCTGGTTCCCCCCAGTGTGTCCCAGTATCCCCCAGTAACCACCCAGTGCCCCCCAAAACCCCTCAAGTGTCCCCAGCGTGTCCCCAGATGCCCTTGACCTATTTGTGAGTTTGGGGGGACGGGGCCGTTTTTGGGGTCAGAGGGTCCAGGGGGGCCTTCTGGGGGAAGATGGAGGGTTGGGGACATCAGGGATGGGTTTTGGGGACAATGGGGAGGGGTTTGAGGACAGTGGCATAGAGGGTTTCAAGGGGGGAATTGGGACACCTGGGGAGGCCCTGGGGACACTGGAGACACCAGGGAGGGTCTTGGGGACACCATGGGGGTCTCAGGACTCACCTGCTCGTGGTGCTGCCCCTCCTGTCTCCCCCAGGGCCCCAATAAGGACCCATAAATGTCCCCTAACCCCCATTTTTCCTTTAATCACCTCCCCATCCACAGATCCCTTTTAACTCCAAATGCTCCCAAGACCCCTTTTAACTCCCCCAAATGCACCCAGAGGCCCCCAAAATGCCCCAAATCCCAAAGAAACCCCTGGCAAAGAGGGATCACCTGGCATCCTGGGACAGGAACACACTGGGCTGTGCTGGGGGCACTGGGCTGTACTGGGAGAGCCCTCATCCCCAAAGCCCCTCCCCTGGGCATCCGTGCCATGGTCTGGGAACCACGGCGGGGTTGGATCAAGGGGTGCACTTGATGATCTGGGAGGTCTTTTCCAAGCCGGCTGATTCTGGGATTCTCTGGGTGCCATTGCCAGGGCAGCACATGCTGGAGGCTCTGTCCACAGGGGATAGATGTGTCTGTGCAGACAGAGAGACAAGGTCAGTCTGCAAAGATGTGGGGTTAGAAAAGCAGGAGAAGTTGTGGGGTGGTTGTGGCAGGAGAAAGAAGCCCCCAGGCCAGTGCAAGCAGGCCCCCCTGGGCTTGCACATCATCTGCCCTCCCTGCAGGTTCCTGTGCTGGAGAGCAGGCCCTGAGGTGTCCCTGAGCAATGGCCCGGAGGTGAGCCCAGAGCTGGCCCTGAGGTGGCCCTGAGAAGAAGTGGAAGGCAGAGGTGGTGCTGAGGCAGGAGAGCCCCGTGCTGGGGAAGAGGCTGAGCTGGGAGTGCCCAGCAGCGAGAAGGTGCTGTGTCCATGCCCTGTGTGCCAGGTGAGCTGGGGCTTTGCTGCAGAGCTGCGGGCGCTGATTGGAGCGGCTGCAGCTGCTGAGCTGGTGGCACCCAGGAACACAAAGTGTGCCCGGCCACGGAGCCTGCAGGGAGGAGCAGGGACAGGGTCAGGGCCACTGTCAGCCCGGGGCTGGCTGGGCAGACACAGCAGGTTTGGGGTCCCCCTGGGAGCTGCCGAGGGTGGAGGGCGGAGCGGGCGATGCCGGAGCTGGGGGACCCCCGGCAGGCTGGAGGGGGGAGCACAGAGAGGGAGGAGCCCCGGGACCCCCGGGAGCCTGAAACAGGGGGAGCGGAGAAGGGGAAACCTGGAGAGTGGGGACCCCTGGGATCCCCAGGACAATGAGGTGGAGAACCTGGAGAGGGGGAATGTCTGGGAAGGCGGCACTCAGAAGGTGAGAGTCAGAGGAGAAGGGACCCTTGGGATCCCCAACACTCAATTTGGAGTGAATCTTCATATTTTGGAATATATTTTTAGCTGCATCTCAACTTTCTGCAGATTAGGAGGGCAGGGGCCTTAGTGCTGTTTCTGAGGGTTTGTTTGCCTGAATCTCATTTTTTTTGTTTTTTTGGGGCTGAATCTTGGTGTTTTGCAGGTTTTTATGGTTCCAGGATGCCCGGTGACTTCTAGAGATGGTCTTGGCAGGAGGAACCCCCAAGCCAAAGTGCTCAGCCCTTGTTTCCCCCCAGCAGGATTTGTCCTTCCCAAAGCTTGGGCGGATGGAGGAGGAGGCTGCAAGGAAGATGCTGCAGGCCCCCCAGGCAGGTGAGGAGGAAGTCAGTGCCCCTTTGGCCCTGTCTTGTGGTGCATCTGTTGAGCAGCCTCCCAGCAGGGAGAAACCCTTCAGGTGCTTGGAATGTGGGAAGGGCTTCAGCTGCAGCTCCAGCGTGATCCGACACCAGCGCATCCACACTGGGGCACGGCCCTACACGTGTGGGGAATGTGGGAAGAGGTTTCAGACCAGCACACATCTCCTCCTGCATGAACAGACGCACACAGGAGAGAGGCCCTTCCACTGCACTGAGTGTGGGAAGAGCTTCACCCAGAACTCCACCCTCATCACACCGGGGAGAAGCCCTGCAAGTGTGGGGAGTGTGGGAAGAGCTTCAGGGAGAACTCGACCCTGATCCAGCACCAGCGCATCCACACTGGGCAACGGCCATACAAGTGCTTGCAATGTGGGAAGAGGTTTCAGACCAGCTCCAATCTCCTCAGGCATGAGCGGACACACACAGGGGAGAGGCCCTTCTGCTGCACCGACTGCGGGAAGAGCTTCAAACGCAACTCCCACCTTGTCACCCATCGGCGCATCCACACTGGGGAGAGGCCCTACAGGTGTGGAGAGTGTGGGAAGAGCTTCAACCAGACAGCTGCCTTGACCTAACACCAACAGACCCACCAGTAAGGGAAGCCCCGCGAGTGCCCCGACTGCGGGAAGAGCTTCGGCCGCTGCTCCCACCCTGAATGACCCCCTGATGGTGAGGCAACCCCTGGAGTCCAGTGACTGTCAGTCCATCCCTTTCCACCAGAAAGGGCCAGTCCCCTTTTCCAGGGCCACGTTCTACCAACAGAACCCTTCTTGGGGGGTGTGTGGAGATTCCTGCCTTGGCTGGGGACCTCCCAAGGTCAGTGCTGGAGGCTGAGAGCAGAGATCTCCCCACGAGCGTTGGTCTGGGGGAGTTCCATCCATCTCTAATTCATAATTCTTGCTTTGGTGCCAGCTTGAGTAGAATTGCTTCAACAATTGCTTTAGGGTAGAGCACTGTCTTATCTTATGCTGTACTAATGGTAGTTTTAGTGTTTCTATTGTGCAGTAAATAATTCTGATGAAGATCTTTTGTCTGATCATTTGTAACCCTAAAGAATTCGTTTCTATCAATAGATTGGACTTGTCATCATTAAAGCTCTGGTTCAGTCCCACCTCTGTAATTCCTGTCAACTGAAAATGTTGGCATAACCCAAGGCTGAGATTGGATCCAGCAGCCCCAGCACCCCACAGTCAGTTGGGAACTCAGGGGGCCACCCCCCCTTTCCCAGCCTTCTGTACCCAAAGACCCTCATGGGACCGTCTGACCCACCAGACCACCCCCTTTTCCACCCTTCTCCCTGTTCTTTCCACTTTTCCATGGTCCTCAATCCCCAGCCCCTCCCAGATCAGTTTAGGGGTCCCAAACCCCACTTTTCCCCCCCTCTCTCTCCTCCTTCCACATCATCCCCCCACTCCCCAGGACCCTCATGCTCAGTTTGGGGGTCCCACCTTGCCCTTTCCTCACTCTTCTCACCTCTCCTACCCATTCCCCATCATCTCCCAAACCTCACTGCCCTGCCCCCCTCCACTTCTGGGGCCCCACTCCCTTCCCACTCAGTTTGGGGTCCCACCACCCCTTTTATCCCCTCTGACCCCCCTTTTCCCACCGACCTCCCACTTCTCACCCCCCGCTCACCTGAGAGCTCCTCACCCTCAGCACGGGGGGCTCCCAGCACCACCAGTGCCCAGAGAAGCCCCCCCAGAAAAGGGGTTGGGTGGGGTCCTGGGTGGGCTCTGAGTGTGTTTGGGGGTCCATGAGGGGCTATTGGGAGGTTTAGGGGTCCCAGCACCTTTTGGGGTGAGCTGGGTGCCTATTGAAGGGCAAGTGCCTTCCCAAAACCCCCCCAGAGTGGGGTGACACGGGGGGAACACAGAGGGGTCCCCATGCCCGATCCATCCTGGGGCTGGTTCTGACTCCCCAAACTCAGCTCCACCCCTTGGGATCCTCCAAACCCCACTACTACCCCCCAATATCTGGTACTGGGGAGAACTGGGAAGCTTTGCTGGGATCACTGGGAGCAGCCGGGTGGAGGCAGAGTGACAGCAGGGCAGGGGGGACACACGACCCCCAAAATCCTCATGGACATGGGGGGGTCCAGGCTGTGCCCGAGGGTCTGGAGGGGCTGTGGCCGCCACCGGCTCAGGAGCTCTGTGGGGAGAGAAAAGGGGGTGACAGCGGGGTGGGGGGACAGGGGGGACACCAGGATACACCCAGAGCTGGACTGGACCCAGCGGGACCAGAACTGGGACAACTGGGATCATACTGGGAGCAGCTGGGCCCCTGCAGGGGTCATACTGGGAGTGACTACAATAATACTGGGAGTGTGTGAGAGGGACTGCAGCCATACTGGGGATGAGTGGGATCAAACTGGATTCATACTGGAAGTGTCTGGAAGATCCTGGGATCATACTTGGGGTGACTGCGATCCTACTGGACTCATACTGGGATCATACTGGAGGTGACTGCGATCCTACTGGGATCATACTGGGATCAGACTAGGATCATACTGGGAGCAGCTGGTTCTATGCTAGGGGCAACTGGAAGCTAGTAGGATACACCTGGGACAACTGGGACCATGCTGGGCACAACTGGGATCATACTGGGAGCAACTGGGCCCACAGTGAAGGTGGCTGGGGTCATACTGGGAGTGACTGGGAGCATTCTGAGGGCAGTTTGGACCATGGTTGCTCAACTGGGATATATGGGGAGCAAGTGGGATCATGCTGGAGGTGACTGGGATCATACTGGGAGCGATTAGGACACAACTGGGGGTGACTGGGAGTAGCTGTGAGCAACTGGAGTCATGCTGGAAGCTACTGGGAGCAACTGGGAGTGAGTGGGACCACACTGGGGGACTCTGGGATATACTGGGAGAGACCAGGAGTGACTGGGATCATACTAGGACTGATTGGGAGCATACTGGGACTGACTGGGAGCAGGATGATGTAAACTGGGAGAGACTGGGAGTGACAGGGATCCTACTGGGAGGGACTGGAACTGTAGTGGGTGAGTGGGAGCAAGTGGGACCCTGCTGGGGGCAAATGGCTTTATACTGGGAGTGACAGGGAATGTCTGGGTTCATCCTGGCTGTGACTGCCACCATAGAGGGTGTCACTGGGATCATACTGGAGTCATACTGGGAGGGACTGGAACTACAGTGGGGTGACTGGGAGCAACTGGGACCATGCAGGGAGTAATTTTGATCCTACTAAGAGAGACTGGGATCATACTGGGACTGACTGGGAGCAAGCTGAAGGCAACTGGGATATAGTGAGAGTGGCTGGAATTGACTGGGATCATACTGGGAGTGACTGGAACCAGAGTAGGGGTGAAGGGGAGCAACTGGAACCATGCTGGGGGCAACTGGGATCATACTGGGAGCAGCTGGGCTCCTACTGGTGTCCCACTGGGGTCTTACTGGGAGTGACTGCAATAATACTGGGAGTGTGTGGGAGGGACTGCAGCCATACTGGGGATGAGTGGGATCAAACTGAATTTGTACTGGAAGTGTTTGGAAGTTTCTGGGATCATACTGGAGGTGACTGGACTCATATTGGGATCATACTGGGAGCAACTGGGACCATACAGGGGCAAATGGCATCATCCAAGCAGTGTCTGAAAGTGTCTGGGGCCATCCTGGACTCAGACTGGGAGTCCCTGAGAGGGAAAGGAAACATGCTGGGGGATGCTGGGAGCAACTGGGACCAGGTTGGGGGCAACTGGGATCCAATTGGGAGTGACTGGGATCATAGTGGGAGTGACTGTAAGGGACCAGGATCAAACTGGGAGTGACTGGAACTATGCAGGGGGGAACTGGGAGCCAGTGGAGCCATGATGGAAGCCAACTGGGAACATTCTTGGAGCAACTGGGATCATGCTGGAAGCAACTGGTCTGAACTGGGAGTGACAGGGTGCATGCTGGAGGCAACTGGCATGAACTGGGAGTGACTGGGATCACACTGATAGGAACTGGGACCATCCTGGGGCAAGTGGAAGTCACTGGGTGTGGTGGGTTCCTGTGGGTGGGTTTTGGTAGCGGGGGGGCTCCAGGGGTGGCTTCTGTTGGAAGCTGCCAGAAGCTTCCCCTGCCCCGTGGAGCCAATGCCAGCTGCTCCAGGACGGACTTGCTGCCCTTGGCCAAGGCCAAGCCCATCAGGAGAAACAGGAACAGCTCTGGGATAACAGATTTAGGGTCAGAAGGAATTGTAGCCAGGGAAGAGCGGAGTGGGAACGTGGGAACAGCAATGCAGACCCCAAGGGCGGTGCAGAAGGAGAGGCAGGAGGTGCTCCAGGCCCTGCAGCCCCTGGGGAGCATCGGGTGCAGAGACCCCCTGCAGCCCCTGGAGGCTCCCACGCTGGAGCAGGGGGATGCAGGAAGGAGGCTGTGACCCCGGGGCAGGCCCAGGATGGAGCAGGTCCTGGCAGGGACCTGCAGCCCCTGCAGAGGGAAGCCCAGGCTGGAGCAGGTTTTTCCCGGGCAGGACTCGTGGCCCCTGTGGGGGACCCACGCTGGGTCAGCTCATCCCTGAAGGACTGAGCTCATGGAGGAGGGACCCACGGGACAGCAGAATGGGAAGAGCTGCTGCCCGAGGGATGGACTCACTGGAGAGGTCCATCTAGGACTGTCTCCCATGGGAGGGACCTCCACAGGAACAGGGAAAAGACTCAGAGCTTTGGCCCCCCTGTAGCCCCTGGTGGAGACCAAAGTAACACAGGCATCCCCCTGCAGACCATGGAGGACCATCGGGGTGCAAAGACCCCCCTGCACCCCATGAAAGAGTAACCCACAGGACAGCAGAATGGGAAGAGCTGCTGCTCGAGGGATGGACTCAGACAACACCTGACTGCAACCCCCTTCCCCTATCCCCCTGCACTGCTGGAAGGGAGGAGGGAGAGCTGAGAAGGAAGGAGGGGTGGGGAGGAAGGTGTTTTTAAGACTGTTGGTTTTCTCACTCTTTGGCTTTATCTTGTTAGTAATAAATTTAAGTACTATCCCCACTTTGAGTCTGTTTTGCCCATTAGTAAGCGACTTTCTCCCAACCCTTATCTCTACTCAGGAATCCTCATCTGGTTTCTTTCTCACCTCTGTGGAGTTGCAGAAGGAAGGGGAGGTAGTGGCTTTTACTGAGTGTTTGAAATCCAACCAGGGTCAACCCACTACACCAACCCATGTGCTTGAGGCCCTTTTGTGATGTCACAGCCCATCCTCTCCATTCCGGAATAGCTCTTGGCAATCAAAGAACCAACA